TTTCAACTTCTTTTTTTGTTATAACTTGTGTTACTTTCTTGATATAATAGCGTGACGACATTTAAATTCATAGAGCCATGTGTCAGATGCAAGCAAATCATGTAAAGATTCTTCTCTGGCCTTCTTTGATCCCAATTTTTTAAATCAAGTACTGGTAATAATTTTTCTCTTGCTTTATCAAATCATTCATAAACAAATATATCAACATTATCGGTTTTTGTTTTTTCTTTCTATGGACTTCAACGTATTTCTGAAACATGAAATATATTGTTGATGTGGAATAGTTCTAAAACGATTATGTACTGTTGACCATGAGAGTTTATACCTTCCACTCCTTTTATCAATTCCATTATGATAATTAAAGGCTTTGTCATATTATCTAAACTAACTTTTTTAATAAATTTTCATCCTTTTCAACGTTAAGATTGCTGTGATTCATTTATACCAAGATCATTACCAGCATCTTCATTCACACCATCATTGTAATCTAATGTGCTCTCATTTTCAAAATGACATGATATAATTACCTCTTGTCAACTAAGTTTCGAGCCAAAAGCGATTTCTCACTTGAGGACCTTCGCTCATCAGTTAGTTACTGAACTGGCTAATTTCATATTCATGTCAGTATTGTTGCTAGTCTCGCATATACTTCGACGAAGTTTCGCCTTGATCTGCTTCGTGAAAAGCTAGGTTGCAGATAAGAACATTGTAACTTATCTATAATCTGATTTTATATACGACTTTAGGTGTAAAACCTTTACTAAGTGCAGAATTTAACATAAGTTTGATTGATAAGTAGCTTCGTATAGAATACATTTAATAATAGAGAGTAGATTGTGTATAACTATTGTTATGAAGGTAACATATAATGAAAACTATTTATCGCACGAATTGTACTCACTAATATAGCAGATATGATCAAAAATTAGTAAGATGTATACAAGTGCTTGGTGATAGATAATGAGTAAAATAAAACAAAAAAACGCTATGTTTCAATTACAAGTCTTCAAACTCATGTTCTTCTTCCATGCGATACCAGTTTTTCTTAAAGTATGTAATCACCTCATCTTCGTCATCGTTATCAGTTAAATATTCGTCTTCTACAGTGTCCGTTTTTATTTGTTCTTTTTCGAATTCATAAAGAATAGTTTTCATGTCAGATTTTTCAAAACCTAATAATACTTGAATGAGTCTGTTACGAATTATCTGTTTCAAATATTTGCCTTTTTTATTCGTGGATCGGAAATAATCCGTTGTAAGAACATCATTCATTTTTTCCACACCCTGTAATGAATATTTATTCAGATCATAATACATTTTGTAGAATTCACCGATGTGCGAGGAGAAAATATGAATATAGGGGGTAACAGCTTCGTATCCAAACACGTCGACAAAGTCTTTCCCCCATTTATCAGCTAATTTTAGGATATTAGAATGATAAAAATTTCGATGATTTGTCTTTTTTGTTAATTCTAATATGTCAAAAAAGTCATTTATCAGATATGTCCATTTTTCTGCTTTATTTTTATCCATGGCGATGACGTCGAGTGGAAGAACTCTGGTAAATTTCTCATGTTGACAACCATTTATTGAACTGGCTACTTGAATATGATTCTCCTCCATCTTGAATCGTATGTTACTCTTAAATAATTAAAACTGTGCTTGCTGATTAAATATTCTTAACTTTAGTTTAATTTGTTTCGAGCGACTGAGTTAAGGAAAAATGCCAAATAAATCTTATTAGTTGATAGAGTGAGATTCATTTGAAGTTTATAAGGTTTCCATCTCAATTTTGTTAAAAAATGCGTTGAACATAGACTAATACAGAGAAAAGTGTAGCTAAGAAAATAGGACCACTACCAACATTCCATCACCTTTTTTGAAAAACTTACGAACTTTTCAAGTTTTTACTGTGAAAGTAAAAATACTCAATAGTTTTGGTTTCGTAAATTTCCAGTGCCTTCTTTTTCTTTGTGTATAGTCTGGCAAAGTAAAATATTCTCTTCGCAATGAGACGTCTTTTGAAATTTTCTGATGGATTTTCGTGGAAATATACAGTGACCAACAAAAGTGATCGTACACCCCTCATATTAACTTATGATTAATATTTCTCCGAAACGAAATCACATGTAAAGTTCGAAGTTTCGCTAAAATTTTGCAAATTTATTGTAGTTTTGTTTACTTAAAATAGAAAGCGTTTATGTCGTATAGTCATTGTGCCAGGTCGGGAAGAGTGCGATGGACGCCTTTCTCTGTTCAATAAAATTGATCATACAGTTGGATCTTTTCATTTTTTAAAAAAAATTGGGATTAAAGAAGGCCAGAGAAGAATCTTTACATGATTTGCTTGCATCTGACACATGGCTCTATGAATTTAAATGTCGTCACGCTATTATATCAAGAAAGTAACACAAGTTATAACAAAAAAAGAAGTTGAAA